CTGCTCCCCACGCTTCCGCCGCGTACTCCTTCTTTCACTCACGTGCTGCCATGGCGATCGCGTCGAGCTGCTGTGACGGCGTCGTCGTGCCGCGGCCGTCTCGACGCGCTGCCATTGCGTCGCGGCGTCGACGCCGCTCTGTGACGGCGTCATCGCCGCGCGACGCCTGTGGCGCCGCTAGATCTGCCGTCCCACCAGTAAGCGTCGCGCCATCCATGGCGCGTCGCTGAAGACTCGCCTGCCATCCCACCAGTAAGCGTCGCGCCATCCATGGCGCGTCGCTGAAGACCCGCCCTCCCCCATTTTCCCCTCCTCTGCCTTGCCATCTCCTCATCGCCACAGCTATCGCTTGAATTGCGGGGGTCTTCACCGTCGTTGAGACTGGACACACCGCCGAGAGGGCGGGGGCCGCTGCCGTCGCCGCTGTTGTCGAAGCCGCTGCCGTCGCCGCTGCTGTCGCCGCTGGCCGTTGCCGCCGCACGCCACCGTCGCCACCGCTGTCGTCACTGCTGCGCCTGCCGCCGTAGCCATCTCACGGGCCGTGGGATTGGCCCCACTGGAGTAGTCGTGGCTGCTGCTTGAGAATGGGGGTGCTAGGTTAGGGGGTGTGGGTGTGTGTGGGCTTGCCACTACCAAGCCTAGGGGGTGTGTTAAATTATATATTGTGTTATATAATTGTTAGGCTTGGTAGGTTACCGAACTATACTGTAGAGGGTACAATCCCCTCCTTGTATCCCTCTCTCTTTCTAGTTCCCTCCCTTATCTCTCGTAAAACTTTCCCTCCTAGCTCTCGACCTCCAAAACCCCTCGCCATTTCATGGCGTCCTAGTTCCTAATTTAACACGAGGAACCTGTCAGAAACAATTGTCACGAACCAGAAACACCTGTCATGTGTCGCGTCAGAAACACATGTTTCCAGCCCAGCAGATCGCCAACTGGACATTCGGCGCGATAAATCTTCGTTGAAATTTCTCCCAATACATAAAACAACATTAGAAATTACAATACCTATGATTCAAAAGAAAAAACCGAATTGGCATAAAAAACGATATAAACGTTAATGGGATGGGGGAATATAAATTATTTGAATAAACGACCCCCCACCTCCCCCCCCCCCCCCCAATTTCAGACCAGTCCCCTAAACGCCCATATGGGCGCTTATCCAGGGGAATATGGTAAACAAGAAGAAAATACAGGAGGGGGGGGGGGTCTTATTCTCAAACTGAAAGAATGAACTAGAATGTGAGAGTACAAGGCAATATAGGCTAGTGTGTTGTACCCTCTAAGGCACAAACCTATAAAGTCTACAATAACATACTAAGTTATGTTTGACACACCCCATAGATTATATAGGGGCAGTGCCTAACAAGAGAATAAGCAGCTCAGGGCGGCACTACTAGTCCAGCCTCTGAGGCAAGGGTATAAAGACTAGTCAAAAGGAGTACAGACAAAACAAGAGCAAGACCAGGGCGGCACTACAAGTCCAGCCACTGGGAGAGGCCACAAGGCCAGTCAAGGTAAGATATATATATAAAGGTCAGTACACAATCAAGGTCCTAGCAAATGAGAGGCTACAGGAACAAGACCAAGTTGTATACACTGCCCCTTATGATCTTTAGGCGCAAGCGCCTTTGTAAAGATATCAGCTGTGTTGGCACCGGAGGCCAAGTGTACTACGCGGGCCTGGCGGCGCTGCTGCAGCTCGCGCAGGAGGAGGTACCGCAGCTGGATGTGCCGGTGGATCTCCAAGATGCAATCTCCTGCTCCGTGGCAGCTATCCACTGAGCGGCCAAGGGTCCCGAGGTGGCCTCAGCGTAGGTGCGAGGGGTCGGGATGTCGAAGGCGTCTGGGTCACCCTTAGGGACTAGCAGCATAGAGCAGAGATGGGGAGCAGCCTCGGACAGGAAAGCAAGCTCGTACTGCCGGTCCTCCAAGACGTCACTGCTGAGGGCAGGAGCACCCCCGACAGACGGGGGACAGGCAGGGTCAGAGACCAGAGTGGTGGCGTAGTCAAGGCGGCGGGTAGAGGCGAAGTCAGCAACAGCAGCCACAAGAGCGTCAAGATGCGAAACAGGAACAGACGGGTCAGTAACGAGGGAGGCAAGGACCCGAGGAACAAGAGGACGAGCGGCGCGAAGGTAGTCAAACAGAGGGGGAGGCGCGACGACAAGGGAGGACGGAGGAGGCGACGGCAGGATTGGAGGACGGGACACGTGGGAACGAAGCAACATAGAGTGAGAACGAGGAACAGGAGAGACAGGACGAGCCCGAGAGAAACGGCGAGACCAGACGTGGGACGGAGGCGTCGGGTCAGGAGACAGAGGAGCAGTAACAAGAGGAGAACGAGGGGGAAGGCGAGCTGGAGACGAGTCCGGAGGAGGGAATACAGGGCCGAAAACAGGAAGAGGAGGAGATGGTAGAAGAGGGGAGACGCGCGGTTAGGGGAGGGAAGGCCGAGCAGGCGAAGGGCGGACACCAGGGGCGACTGCTGCTGCGGCGGCGGCTGCACGACGCCGACACCTGGACCGCCAGCTGCTCCACGGCTACCTCCGGAACACTCCACTCCGACACCCCCAGACGAAACACCCCCAGAACCAGAAGCTCGCTTCGCACCAGGACGACCCCCAGGCCCGCTGGGATAAGCCACGACAGGAGCCCCAGGACTAGCACCCTCCTCAACGCGAGCACCCCCAGAAGGAACGAACTGCAGCGGTAGCGGCGGTGACGACGACTGCGGCGGCGCTGCGGCTGCGACGGAGGACCACCAGAGTCAGTAGACTCCTTAACCGGGACAACCGACGTGAGGGGGGTAACGTGAGACACACCAGACGGGGTAGGGCGGGGAGGAGGGGGGGCAAAGGCAACCGGGGGAGGAGGGACCAGTCGCTAGGAACTACGGCGGAAGCGCTGGTGGGCGGAGGGGACCTAACCTACTCATGATACCATCTCAAACTGAAAGAATGAACTAGAATGTGAGTACAAAGCAATATAGGCTAGGGTGTTGTACCCTGTAAGACACAAACCTAAATAGTCTACAATAACATACTAAGTTATGTTTGACACTTGTCTCATACCGCCCAGGGGGTGCCTTATAAACGGGAAGCCCAAGTAGAAGATATACACCTCGTATAAGACCCTGGGTCTTCTATTACTAGGGGGTTTTCTATCCGGGCTGTTACGGTAGTAAATTTTATGAGCTGTGTGCTTCTCCCTCAGCACTACCCCTTATCTAGCCTAGGGGGTGTGTCAACTTATACATACATTTGCATGTAAAAAGGTGTATGTTCTTAGAAAGTACAACCTAACCCTTTATCTTGCTTGTTCTCTCTTGTTTCATTCATTCTAGTATTCTAACAACTACCCCCTGCAGGTCTAGATTGATCAGCAGATGAAATGTAATTTTTTGAAAGTGTGTAACACTTTCTAAAAATGTGTATTGTGAGAGTGTAGCGAGGGCCAACGCAGCAAAGGCAGCGACGAAGCGCTACTCACCCTCTTTTGCCTACAAAAGAGGGACGTGAGGCCATTCGGCCTCACCCACGTTCTTCATTTCTAGTTTCTCTAGTTCAATTTCCGCAGTTTCTCGTCCAACCTGGCGAAGACCCAGTCCCTCCCCCGAGGCAAGGCTCCGACGACGCTCCTCACCGACATTTTGCAGCACAACCTCGCTAACATGGCGTCGGCGAACACGACTCCGAATCGTCCGACGAACAACCCCAACAATTCCGTGGAGCCCGGAACTTCGGCCGGGGCAACCGCCCGTCGCCAGAAACGTCCTGCTGAGGAAATTTTTGGCGAGGGTCCCTCGGCTGTCGAGGTCCTGCTTGGCGCCAATCGCGCTGCTCCAGAAGAAACTCGCGCGGCTGCGAAGCAGCCGCGCGAGCTGCCAACGGAGGACCACGCGCCTGCGCACGTCGCGACGGCTGCAGGCCACGCAGGCCCCACCGAGCACACGCCCTTTGACGAGGTCGTGCCAGCCGCCGCCGCCCCCGCGTTGACCGCACAACAGCTCCAGGCGCTTTTGGCGCTGTTACACCAGCAGCCGAATGTTACGCTCGGAACATCTTCGGACAATATAACTGCTACGACCAATTTCGCCAAGAAGAAAGAAATGCCGCCACCTACTCGTGCGCCGAAAGCTCCGCGCGTCGGCAACCAGCCCCCGGCACCGACTCCCGCACTCGCCAATGACACCGACGACAGCGACGACTCTGAAAACGATGATGGTGAGGCTCCTGCCAATATTGCTCGCCATCGCATTCTCGCCCCCGCCCCCCCTCTTCCCCCCCTTGGTCCCACGCCCACAGCAACTACCTTCATGCGTAAGGGCGTGCGCGACCAGGCCGAAGTCTTCACTGCTATCCAAGCGCACCTGCAGCACATCGACTTCGAGCTGCAGCACGGCAACGTCACTGGCGCACTCAACAACGTGAAACACATCGAGACGCTTATTAATAAGCGTTTCGAGGTGCTTCTCGTGGCGGATGAGGCCGGCTTTGAGGCTGCTGATCGCTTCCAGCTCTACCAGTCCAAGAGTGTGCTGACGTCCCGTTCCTACAAGCTGGCGGTCGCCGACGTGGCTGCACTCAAGCGCGCACGCGCCATCTATCCCCGTGGTGGTCGTCCCGGCGGTCGTGACGGAGAAATGGACCTCAAAGGCTCCCCCCCTCTCACGTGCCAGCAGCCACGCTTCAAGGGCGTGTGCTTCCGCTGTGGCCAGCCAGGTCACATGGCTAACGCATGCCCCATGGGCGGGCGTGGAGCACAAGGCCCCTCACCGGTGGTGTGAGCGGGGGTAAGGGCGGTGCCCTTCGCCAATATGCAAGAAGCATATTGGGCTGCACCGGGGGTGCGTGGCTGGTGGCCGGCCTTAGGACAAGGCAAATGGCCTAGTAGACTAGGGTAGCCCTAGGGGCAGAGAAGGCCGTGGGCCTAGAACCTTGTGTTATTCCTTGTATGGATCATGCACGCCGTTATGGCGCATTGAAACTAAGATTGCAAAAAAAAAAAACTTTTGCAAGGCCTCGATGAAAGAGAGAAAGAGAGAGAGCGAGAGAAACAGAGAGAGAGCGAGAGAGTGAGAGAGAGAGAGAGAGAGAGAGAGAGAGAGAGAGAGAGGGAGAGAGAGAGAGAGAGAGAGAGAGAGAGAAAGAGAGAGAGAGAGAGAGAGAGAGAGAGAGAGAGAGAGAGAGAGAGAGAGAGAGAGAGAGAGAGAGAGAGAGCATAAGATAAAAAGAGAGAAAGACCATAAGAGAAAGAGAGAGAGAGACAGAAAGAGAGAAAAAGAGAGAGAGAGAGTGAGAGAGAGAGAGAGAGAGAGAGAGAGAGAGAGAGAGAGAGAATGGATGAGAGAGAGAGAGAGAGAGAGAGCATAAGAGAAAGCAAAGGGAAAGAGCATAAGAGAAAGAGAGAGATAGAAAGAGAAAGAAAGAAAGTTTGTGTGTATGTGTGTGTGTGTGTGTGTGTGTGTGTGAGAGAGAGAGAGAGAGAGAGAGAGAGAGAGAGAGAGAGAGAGAGAGAGAGAGAGAGATCAGAGAGAGAGAGAGAGAGAGAGAGAGAGAGAGAGAGAGAGAGAGAGAGAGAGAGAGAGAAGAGAGAGGAGAGAGAGAGAGAGAGAGAGAGAGAGAGAGAGAGAGAGAGAGAGAGAGAGAGAGAGAGAGAGAGGTGACGAAGGCTCGAGCGCTGAAGGGAGAAGGCATGAATATCAGCCATGCCCTTTTTGCAATTGAACATGAGCCACTCTCGCTTTGCCAACTGAATGGGAGCTATGCCCCCCATGGAATTGACTATGACACATCCAACCTTTAGGCAATTTTCTGGTCTCACTCACTTGGGTACCTATGTGATTCTTGCCACCCGACCCTTTGGTCCAGCAGAAATCGGGAAAGGATGGTTACACAACGAACATGACCCCTACGAGTACGCGGTTACAGACAAGGACGTAACTGTCATGCATAGTCGATTGCGTCACGCCCTACACTGGTGGTGCTCATGGTGCGATAGGAGTTTCATCCTGTCCATCATCGCGAAAGGATATTGGCTTCCCTGGAAGCAAGGCGTGCCACATGCCATTGAGGATAGCAATCATGCTGGAGTTCACACACACCTGGACTTCACTCGTGGAGCGATTCGCGACCTCGTCACCTCGGGTGCCGCCGTCAAGGTCCCTACGAAGGACGCGCTCATGTGTGTCAGTCCACTTAACGTGGTGGAGCAGCGCGACAAGTGTCGCCTCATTCTTGACTTGCGCAAAGTCAACAACTACCTCGACATCCCCAAGTTCAAGTACGAAGGCTTGAACAGGGTAGCCGAACTCATCCGCCCAGGCGATTGGATGTTCTCCATCGACCTAAAGTCAGGCTACCACCATGTCGAGATCCACCCCTCCTGCTGGAAGTTCTTGGGATTTCAGTTCGAAGGAGACTACTATTCCTTCATATCACTCCCGTTCGGGCTTGCCACTGCCCCGTTCGTCTTCACACAACTGATCAAACAACTGGCAAAGCGATGGCGGGCAAGCGGCGTGCGGGTTGTTCCATATGTCGACGACTTACTATTCCTCTGCAACTCCCACTCGGATGCACGCTCGACCTGCGCAGCTCTTGTTCAGGACCTGAAGGCAGCAGGTTTTGTTATAAACGGCAAAAAGTCACATCTACACCCCTCGCGCCAGATAGCTTTCCTCGGCTTGGAGATTGATGCCGCTCAAGGCACCTTCTCCGTCGGACTCGAACGTCGAGCACAACTTTTTGCTTCACTCCAAGCCCTCATCGCCCAGGGACAAGAGGGACGACCAGTTCCCATCCGGTCCCTTGCGAGAATCACAGGAATGCTGGCCTCCATGAATCTGGCATTGGGCGCTACGGCACGTGCCTTTAGTCACGAGCTCCTTCAACTTATTGCAGACGCCACCTCTTGGCACGCCAAGGCACACTTGTCGTCGACAGCAGTGCACGAGCTGCATTTTTGGCTTGCGCAATTCGACAAGTTCAACGGAAACCCATTCCATCTCAGTCACCAGTTCGATGCCGTCATCCACGTCGATGCAAGCGCACACAGCTGGGGCGCCACCCTGACACAACTTCCTGGGACGCCCATTGAAGCCAGTGCTCGCATGCCCGAGGAACTACTGCCCACCTCCAGCACTCGACGGGAACTCGAATGAGTTTTATGGGCTCTCCGAACTTTCGCTGCCCGCATACCCAAGCGACACGTGCTCGTTCGGGTAGACAATCAAGGCGTGGTATTCATCCTACGCAAAGGTGGATCGCGCCACCCCACGCTTACGCTACTATGTCAAGCAATCATTCGCCTCTGCCTGGAACACCAAACAAGGCTAGCTGTCGAATGGATCCCACGAGAGCTGAATGCGCACGCCGACGAACTTTCAAAAATCCAAGACCACGATGACTACTCCCTCAAAGCCCCGTGGTTCCGGCTCTTGGATCGCCGCCTGGGTCCCCACTCTATCGATCTCTTCGCAAATGTGCACAACGCTCAGCTGGAGAGGTTTTGTTCCAAGATTCCACACCCTACGGCCGCAGTGTTTGACGCTTTTTTGTTCAGCTGGCAGCACGAGCGCGGCTTTGCGTTTCCCCCTCCCAACCTCATTCCAGCCACATTACGACACGCTAAACGCACACACGCTGAGGTGACCTTGGTCATTCCCGAGTGGCCGGGAGCATCATGGTGGCCACTCCTCCAACAGGCACCTGACGCCTGGGTGCCAGAAGTAACGGCACACATTCCCCTCACCCACGGCAGCCAATGCCTACGCCCCGGCACACACGCACTCGCTTTCGCAGGACAAGGCTTTCCTCCTAGTAAGATGATTGCACTGCATGTCACGTATAAAAATCAATAATAATTGTACTGTACGCTGTACCTTTTCAGGCATTATAACGAAGCTGCAAACACAACTGCTACACGTAATCACCCATGTCCGTGCCCCTTCCACCATCCGAACGTATGAGCCCTACTGGCTCAAATTTCGCTCCTTCTGCATGAAGATGAAGTTGAGCTACCTGCCTGCAACGGATATGACCTTGGCACTCTACCTTATTCATGCACTAAATCACCAGGCCACCACATCTGCCATATCGCTTACATGCTCCGCCGTCGCCTTCGCGCATCGCATGACTGGCGAGCCCTCTCCCTCGACTGGACCATTTACACTACAAGTGCGCGAACTTGCCAAACGCCATGGCCCGCGCCCCACCCGGAACAAGGAACCGTTGTCGCTGCACTAAGTGCACACCATGGCCTGCCCCTTTCTGGAGTCCACCCGGCCGGCCGAATACCAAAAAGGACTCATCCCCATCCTTATGTTCGCCGCCTTCCTACGCTACTCCGACCTTGTCAGTCTCCAATGGCACGACATACAGTTTGAGCCTGAGGCGATGTGGCTGCTCATCCCGCACTCCAAGACCGACCAGGAAAGCAAGGGCACGTGGATTCCGGTCGCCGCCACTTCCGGCCCATACTGCCCGGTACGCTGCACACGACACTTTCTTCTCCTCGCGGGTCACACCTCCACCCCACACGGGCCATTGATCCGAGTCTTCGGGAACAGCAGTACGGCAACTCCACAGGACCACGCACCTTCGTACACCACCATCCGGAACTGGTGCCTTGAAGCATTCACCAGGGCCGGCCTCGATAGCGCCCACCTCGGCACCCACTCCTTTCGCAAGGGCGCTGCTACAGCGGCAGCCAGCCTGGGTGTTGGGCTGAGAAAAGCCCTTAGGATCTTTTGCAGAGACTAAGTCCCAGCTTGTAGAGACTTGAGACTTGGAGTAGTGCAGCGGAAGTTGAGACGGTTGAACCCTTGTACTAGTATGTGAGAACAAGTGATTGATTAAAGAAACAAGCATACAGCAATATATAGTAGATAAGAAAGCAGTTGTAGAATACAGTTACAGAAACGGTTTATCGAGTCGCACAGCGACTCGATTGCCGCTTCGGTTACCATCCGTGATGTTGTAACGGTCAGTCGCAACCTCCAGTTGCGACCTTTCGAGTCCTTTCGCATTCTTTGTCCGCCCCCTCGTGTAACCTCCGTTGACTCGCGTGCTCCCCTGTAGTCTTCCTCGAGTACAGTGTTACACTTCAGAAACGCTTAAGTCCTTGAGATATTTCCAACACTCCCCTTCGTTTCTGGAGTGCTGGAGTGTTCAGATCTGGTGGCGTTTGTTTGCCCGGTTAGGAGCATGCAGTAGTCGAATTTTGCTTTCGCCAATTTCTTCGTCAGATAATCTGCGGCCATTTCTGTCGTCGGGCAGTAACTGAGTTGAAGTCTCCCCTTCGCGATTTCATCCTTGACGAAGAAGTACCGCAGGGCGATGTGCTTGGTTCGATTGGCGAAGCCGTCCTTGTTCGCGATTTTGATCGCAGATTGGTTGTCGCAGAGGAGTGAGAAGGCGGGCAGGGTCGCGATCTTCGCTTCTTCGAGTAACTCTCGTAGGTAGAGTCCTTCCTTGGTCGCAGTACAAAGGGCGATATACTCTGCTTCAGCCGAGGATAGTGCGATTAACTCCTGCTTGCTCGACTGCCAGGAGATAGTTCCGATAGGTTCTAGTCGGTAGATGTAGCCCGTCCTAGACCGTCGATTTTCGCTGTCTCCCACGTGGTCGGCGTCGACGTATCCGAGTAGTCGTACGGACGGTGTTGTTGCCTTGCTGTAGGTAAGCCCGATCGTCGGCGTGGAGACGAAGTAGAGTAGCGCTCGATTGAGTTCTTCGAGATCTTCCTGTTGCGGATGCTTCAGATGTGTCGCCAGCTGACTCGCACTATAGGATAGGTCGGGTCGGCAGGTTACTGCTGCGAATAGTAGGCAGCCGAGCTTCTGTTGATACTCCTGGATTTGTTTCGCGGGGAGTTTTGTAGAGGCGCTGCCGTTGTTCCCGTAGCGGTAGGGAGTTGGGACCGCAGTCGGTGTTAGAGCGAATTTCTTCGCGACGGTGCTTGAGTACTTTCCAGCGTGTAGGTAGAACGCCGTGTCGTCTTCGACGACGTTCAGTCCTAGGTACTGCGTAACTTCGTCGGACACCGTGAGAGTTAAATCTTCTTTCAGCTCCCCTTCGAACCAGGTGGCGATGTCGGTAGTTGAGCCGATGTAGAGCAGGTCGTCGACGTAGACGATGAGCAGAACATACTCTCTTCCCTTCTGCAGTCGGTACATCCCTTGGTCATGCGGCAGCTGTAGGAAGCCGATTTTTACGAGACGGCTGTGAAGATGCTGCTGCCAG